CAGCCATTCTATGGCTGCTTTCCAGCAAGAGACACAGGCGATACTGTGTAACACAGTGTCCACGCTGGTGCTTTCCATCTATGACACAGAGAAACACAGAGTGAGGGTGCCGTCCCATGTACACGGAATCGGAACGACGGAACGGATTTCTTACTAGAAAATTTGAGATCACTACAATTCCGTTCCGTAAGAAGTTTCTCTACCCGTCCCATGTAGCCGGAACGGAATGAAAACGGACGGAATGTCGCCTCGGTCGCAAGTTAATTTGATTAATTTAATCGATATTTCGTTATTTTAATGCGACTAAAGCAGTAATATGCATAATTTGTGCAATTATCTTACCTATAACATTACTTTGAATACTCAAAAATACTGTATTATAAAAGTGAGATATATTTTGTTACCAAAATTCCATTGCGTTCCGGCTACATGGGACGGGAAGAGAAACTTCTTACGGAACGGAATGGTATGTTCAGCTGAGTTGGTTGAATGTAAAAATTGAAACGAATATTCAGAAACCTTTTCTTGAAAATTTATAATGATGGATGAAGAAGTAGTGTTATCTGTAATGCTAAAATTATTGCGAAATGCAAGAAATATGCCAAGTTGGCGTGCCATTCCGGTATTTAAGAGAGTACGAAAATTGTATTTTGTTTAGAGCATTTTATTACGACAGCAAAAGAAAAATACAAGAAAACGAAAATTTTGGGTACAGCCAATGTTTACACAAAGGATGAGACGTCTCGAAGGCGCAATTGATAATTTAGTCGTCGAAATGCAAACGATAATGGGGGTACGCTTCTGTGCTGGCAACTTGAAATTCCAAAGAGCTGGCCTCTGCTCTACAGCATCAATTAGCATCTTGTCTTTGGTGTCAGCTGACCTAGTACATTCGTTACTCTCTGATGATGGAACGTCGCTCTGCATATTTTCATTTGTATCCTTCATTCCTGTTTATATATAAGTATATATACTTACTGAATATGTCCAATATTTGCAAATAAATCATAAAAAAATATGTTCTCACAAATAAACATACTTATTGTAGCACGCCCTGTCTTGTCAATAGAGAGGACATGAATATTTTCGTCATAGTCTTGAAAACATTGATGGGCCTGAATCTCTGTACAAGACTCGAATATGAGCCAACCACAGTAACCACATTTTACTGCTTGAAAAAAATTAACACATTTGCTATGAAACGCATAATTTCAAATATTGTGCCCAAAAATTTCAGGGTTTTTGGTAAATAAAACAAAAACTAGTATATATATGTAATCAATATACGTACAAATAATTGAATAAAATTGTCAATTTATTCTTACATAACCTAATCTCATCGTTTGACTCGATAATATTAACTTATTTCATTATTATTAAGGTAAAATATTGTACAAAATTATTATTTCTGGTCCTCCGTTATTGCTCATTTTGTTGTTTTAATTTCAATTATTGACAATCGTTCAAATAGCCGGATCGACATAGCCTGCAACCGACATGACATTTCGTTGATTCGGTACCGTTCCGGCCATGGTTCCGGTGGTTCCGATACAGCAGAGAAACTTCTTACGGAATGGAATTCTAGTGAATTTATTTCTAGTAAGAAATCCATTCCGTTTCGTTCTGATTCCGTGTACATGGGACGGCATCCTCACACTGCGAAACACAGCTCGATCTTAAGTTTGGCCGTGTCGGACGTCAATAGTGCCAACACAAAGCAAAGAAATTATTTTTGGAAGTGTGGTACTGATATATATACTTCCAGTTATCAGTTGACTTTTCATGTACATGGCACGCTGTGGCAGCAAGTGATCTTGCTTAACTTAACTTACAAAAAAAGTCTTTTGAAAATTTTTTTATTTCACGACGTGATTAAGATTTTCGTGAAAAATTTAAAAAAATGTCATCGTGTTCGTATATGAACGTATCAGACCCGCAGTTCTTAGACGGTAATCAATCAGTTATTTTTATTTAAGGAACTGTATAAAACTAATAACACCGCATTTGTTGATAATTATTGGTAATATTTTATTGAATTTTTTAATTTTTATTACAGATACATTCTTTTGTCGACATTGTAACGAAATCATACCTACGTTAGATGATGTGAAACATCATTCCTGTTTTGAAGGAAGAGAAGTTTTTCTCGAAGGGGAAACAGAACTATACTCACCTGCAGTAAATGAGATTCCATGTAAATAATTTCAATTCGAAAAAATTTATTACATAAATATTTATTGTATAAATACGATGAAAACATAAAAAACAGTCTTTATTAAAAACTCTCTTATTTAAGAGATGAAATAACCAGTCTTAGATATAATTTATTTCAGTATATATATATGTAGCGATAACTCTTCAGAAAATACATTAACAACGATGACCTCCTCTATGGATGATAACAAAGAGAATGAGATACATGATTAAAACTTACCATAATCGAAAATAACACTATCGTT